AGTTTGCAGGAGTTTGGCAAACTTTTCTATAAAGGGCTAAATGGTAAATATTTTAGGCTTTGTAGGCCATAGATTCTCTGTTGCAAATACTCGACTCTGCTGTTGCAGCACAAAAGCAGCTATAGGTATATGTAAATGAATGAATGTTGCTCTGTTCCAATAAAACTTTATTTACAAAAACAGGCAGTGTGCCAGATTTGGCACATGGGCCATATTTGCTGACCCCTGCTAGAACATCAGCTCCATAAATGTGGAGAATTTCATCTGTTTTGTTAACTGCTGCATCTTCAAAAGGCTAGAACAGTGCATGACCCTTAATACATGCCTAATAAATACTTGTTGAATGAATGAACTAATTAATTTAATCCCCAGAACAAGTATATGAGTTAAATATTATTATTTTACAAATGAGTATACTAAGATGAAATGATTTGCCACATCACCAATAAGTGACAGAACCAGTGTTTAAGCACAGGTCTTTCTAATTCCAAAGTTCTGTACAATTCCCACTATGTTACACTGATATGGCAAAAGCATTACTAAATAATTGTAAGAGCATCATACCATCACATATATATTTTCCATCTGTCCTTTTTTTTTTTTTTAAGATTTTATTTATTTTTATTTCCCCCCCCAAAGCCCCAGTAGATAGTTGTGTGTCATAGCTGCACATCCTTCTAGTTGCTGTATGTGGGACGCGGCCTCAGCATGGCCGGAGAAGCAGCGCGTCGGTGCGAGCCCGGGATCCGAACCCGGGTCGCCAGCAGTGGAGCACGCTCACTTAACCACCAAGCCACGGGGCCGGCCCTCCATCTGTCCTTTTTCCTTACCAATAGTTTGTAGTTTCCTGAGCCTTGGGACCAATGAACAAGACACCAATATGTTAAAATCATATCTATATCTGTATGTTTATATCTTCATCTATACTGTGATCTCTATATTTCTATATCTATATCTACGGATTTAATATTTAGACTACAATTGATGCAACTAAAACACTGGATTGAATCTTGAACACAAACTCTCTTAGTTGTACAAATAGAAAGACTAGAGAGTTAGCTTATTTCAAACAGACATCATATCTAGAAGACCAAATCAATTTTATGTACTCATAAATGTAGCATACAGGAGTACAACATTAATTTGCATTTATTCTTTTCAAATGCACAAAGAAATGAAAAATGTGAGGGAAAAACAAACACCAAAAATATCCTATTCTCCTTGCCTTAAGAATGCCTTGCTTCAATTCTCCCCACGTAGAAGGAGCAGGCCCTTGGCTGTTGTGTCACTCATATACAGCAGCCCTGACCAGCGGGCCACTGTTGCATGCTTGCAATAACCAGCCCCTATAGCTGATCATACACATCTGCTTCCCTTCACACGTCAATAATCTATGGCAGCTGTCTTCCAAAAATAGGCATCAGGAAGGCCAGAGCAGTTCTGAATGTAGATTCAACGGATTGCACATCTTTCCACATTTTTGTAGCTTGCCTGGGGTTTTACCACCACCACGATAATCAAGGAACTCAAAGGAGCCAACTACTGTTTTGTCCAATTTTCTCTCTTCAGATGCTCAGGGCAGAATTTTTAAAAATCTGTGTACATGGGACCAATGCTGCATACTAAGAAGCTATTAAAGGATAAGACAAATAGCACCCACACCATTTGGCAGCCTTAAAAGTTTAATGTTTATTATAATCTGACACCGTAATGATTGATGGGGATGCCATAGTGCAGAGAAACTCAAGGCTTTACAACCAGTGAAAGATTATTAAACTCAGTAAAAAGATAAAAGTTTAAAATGATATAATAAAGCTAAACTTTTCAGCTTCTTGACTGCCAGATCTTGCAATAAAAAATATATCTAAATTTTATAAATCAACATAAATCTTTGGGACAAATAGAAATAGATTGTTCACTGAAACTGTATCAGGAGGCTAGGCTATATCTTACCCAAAACTAACAAGAGCAAGAAATGCGTCCTCCAAGAGTTTAATTTTTGGTACTTGAATACAAACTTAGAATAAGTAGGTTGTTCTAGTTAATGTAAAATATAGTCTTGCTTATGCCAATGCATTTTAAGGCAAATATTCCCTCTTTAATATTAAGCAATAGAGCATTGAAGAAGATGAAAATAATACCCATTATTTATGGAATGCTTTTAGCATTCATTTTTCACTTTCTTCTCACTTAATCCTGACAAAAACATGTCCTCTAGATTGAATCATTTGTAAGAGGTAGAGCTGAAATTCAAATCAGATCTCTTCCAAACTAAAGCTCATGTCTGGACTCTTAAGCTATCCTATGTCCAAAGGAATCAAAATATACACTGCACTGTGCATCACATATGAGAAGCCAAGAAGCGATTATCAGTTACCAAAAGAACAAAAGAAATGCTCATCAGACCCCAACTTCCATTACTAAAAGAGTGGAACTAGACACAAGAACACTTTTTACGCTTAATTTTTCTCAACGTTCCTTCAGAACTCCAAAGTTCCCCATCGCCGCCCTGCTAGGTCCAGTCCTTTGGAAACTCATGGGCTCTAAATTGTATTAAGAAAATTACAAAGTAATAAACACTGATGTTTTAATCATTCACAGAAATCTCAACAGGATATGCAAAAATTTGATACATGTTGGAAAATCTTTCCTACAAATGACAACTACATAATGCATACTCTCACTATGAGAGCTTCCAGTCTTCGTAGCACTGTGTACTAAACCACAATATAAACAAATTGTATACTGACTTTTTAAAGATGTCCAAGTTCCCTGAAGGCAAAAACGTGTCCCACACGTTTCTGCTCTATACCCAGGACCACTGTGCAAATTGATTTCAAAACTCATTAACAGTCCAATGAAATAGACATAGTTAAAACTCTATTGCTTTTGTTCACAGTAACCAATGCTATTCCCTTCTCTGCCAGGTATCCCCAACTTCTCCCTCTAAACCTATCAAATAATAACAACCCATTTATTTAGCAGGTACTATATGTCAAGCTCTGTGCCACATACTTTGTATGCATTACATCATTTATTCCTTTATGTAGTGCTATAAAGTAAGTGGTATTCTATCCTTCCCATTTTAAAGGTAAGGAAAAGCAGGCAACTATCTCAAGTTATACTGCTAGCACATGACGAAAACAGGATTTCAACCCAGATATGTCTCCCCACAGGGCCCTTGCTCTTAACTGCAAAGCTATGAGAGCCAGATGGGACCCCTGAAATTATCTAGTCTCAAACCCTCAGTTTATAGGTGAGGATGCTTTAACCCAAGAAGCTTAAGTGACATGTTCAAAGTCACACCTTGATTACTTGTAGAGTCAGGGCTAAAATCTAGGGCTTTTGTGTGCTCCTTCAACTACCTATATGGTCTTCTTCTAAAATTTGAAAATAAAAATACATTCTGATTTCCTACACAAATAAGAATTCCCATAAACTGTCAATGTGACTCACTGTACAATGCTCAGAAGACTCCCCCTGATTTCTTTGAAGCCTCCAAAAGCTGCTAACTGTTATTAACTACGGCTGACCTAGAATGACAAATATTTTTAAACTAGAATAATAATATAATCAATAATTTGCTAAGGGTTCTTACTATTAATGGGTCATATTTTTCCCTTACATTTTAAATATGAATATGATCATTCTTTAATACATTGGTTCTCAAACTTGGTTACATATTGTATTCACCAGTGTTGTTTTGAAAATGCCTAGTGCCCACGCTACCTTACAGATCAAATAAACTGGAAACTCTAGGGGTGGGACACAGGCAGCAATACTTTTTAAAATTCCCTGGTAATTCCAATATGCAACCAAGTTTGAGAACTAGGGCTTTAATAATTATTGAAACTTTAAAATAATATTTCAGGAGATATTAGATCAAAAGAGTCAAGCAAACACAATTTCTAACATTGTTATCAACTATATTAACTCACCTTCCTCAAAAATTATTAAAGAAAAACCTAAAAGATTTAAAAAAAAACTTTCAAATCATAGAACACCAGCTTCAGTTACTTAAACAAATACCTTTTAGCTGATGCTACAGAGAAACCCACAGAAATCCTTAAACACACACATAAAAAGAGGAACCTGAGGCTGGCTCCACGGCATAGCAGTTAAGTGCACGTGCTCCACTGCTGGCGGCCCGGGGTTCAGATCCCGGGCGCGCACCAATGCACCGCTTGTCGGGCCGTGCTGTGGCAGCGAAAAAAAAAAAAAAAAAAGAGGAAGATTGGCAGGGATGTTAACTCAGGGCTGATCTTCCTCATAAAAAAAAAAAAAGAGGAACCTGAGTCACCAGCTAAGAGGAGCTCATAATCATGAACATGCATTCATTGTTGTTTCTATATACATATCAGAGAGCAACAACCTGGAATACTATGAACCACACTTACAAATTAACTGATTACAGTCTTTTCTCCAAAGCTAATTCTAAGAGGTCCTTTCCTTGATTTGGGTGATTAGTAAATAAAAACTGCATTTCACAAGCATATTTAAACACCACAGGTTTTGTATTCCATAATGGATGACAATGTGACTGATTACTTATGGGGTCACGTGACTGATCAAGAGAGGATTTTAATCACTGTGAATAAGAAAATAATAGAATTAACATAAAATTAATGAACTCATTCATCGTTGTTTCTAGTTATAAAAACTTAGTTATGCTAAATATTTATATTTCTTTTATCAGAGTATAATTAAACTATCTTTTTTTAATCTTCCTTAATTCTCTGTTTCTTTCTGGAAAATTCTGCTTTGGTCCTGATCTTGCCTATTTTCAGTCCCAACTACATACTAAACTCACAAAGCTGAATATTTCTCAGTGCTTGTTTAATTAAAATTTGATTCAAATAATAACTATACATTAAAATATTTCTTTATTTTTTTAACAATTATATTGTGCTATCATAGCAATTCGACAAGATTTTTCTTAATATTTCAAAAACAATTATTCTGACCCAAGCATAATTCAAAAGAAAAAAATGTCTACTTACAGGTATCATCCAGTTAGCCAGGTCACCATATTTTGAAACCTGCATTGCTCCTAGCATTGTTAGATCAACATGTCCCCTGACAAAGAAAAAGAGGAAATAGAAAGCAAATTTCACGAGCTTTGTCTTGTTTGCTTGAAATTGCCAACAATTAAAATAAATAATTCTATACCCCCAAAATACATTTACTTTCCCCACCCAACATCTAATTTCCAAATAGATCAGCTCAAGCTGATGTAGAGAAATAACCATTAAGAGTTCTTTAAAAAAAATTATAGCCTATATTGTCTCCAAAAACAAATTAAAAACAGGTGTACACAGTGACTTTGTTTCCTTCGGTGAAGGAGAATGGGGCTGCATGTGAAGACAAACCATAGCTAGAAAATGAACACATCGTTTGTAGAAAATGTTAGGATCCTCAGAAAGAACCTTAAAAATGCTTACTTCAGTATGTTGGCACACAGATATATATTCCATTTGGGGGGTTCTTTTAATAATAGCAACTGGATGTTCCAATTCCCAACATTCAATGTGAATAATTTCACATCTTGGTGCAGCCAAACCAATGTATGATGGTTTTCTGGCTGGGAGATGTGGCTGTGTCTCAGAGCCTTACTGACACTCGGGATGACTCAGCTCATTCCACACTGTGTGAAACATAAGGGGCTCCATTATTACATACCCTCTGATCATCGCAAATGACTCATCACTGGAGAAATAAGAAGCTCCTGGAAGAACAGTAACTGTTTCCTTGCCTAAACACATACACACAAGAAAGAAAAAAAAAGAAAAGGCTATTAGATTTCTAAGAGTGGAAATCACATGGAGAGAGGGGTCTATACCTTCTCTGTTCCCTAAAGAACTATGGTTCCCTTTACCAAAACGCAGTGGCGACAGGAATGCGGGGGACACAATGGGAACTGTCTGCCCTATGAAGAGGAGCGAACAATGTCGTTAACGTTGTTCAGATTTGCCCTTGCATGGTGATAATAAAAGCAGGCCAAGTTTTAATTTTATTATTGTCTTGAAATTCTCTGCAGACAATGCACCCCACTGTTGGCTATATCCATCCCCACCTCCCACCAGCCCCACTCCCTTCCCAAGCCCCTGCTAAATGCTAATAGGAGTGAAGGAGGAAAGGGGTTCCTGGGATGCACCTGCCAGAATCCAATGCTACTGTAGTCACTAGAGCAAAGACATTGTGGAATAAACATGAAGAAATGCAACTTTGCAGGGAATGACACAGATGCTCCTCAGATATTTCTTAAAAATCAACGAATAATCTAGAAAGAGAGATCCCACTGAATTCCTTAACATCATTAGTCCTGAATCTCTTCTTTCAATCTCTCTCTGTCTCTTTCTCTCTCTGCCTCATCCTTCCTCTCTTGCTCTTGTAAATTTCTATTAAAACCATAGGACTTTGATGAAATCAGGGAATAACATCCTATCCTGGCCAATGTATATCTGAGCTGCTTTCTTCTTGTGATCTATTCCCTGTCTGTTCAGGAGCTTCAAGTGCCCAGGAGAAGCTTCTGGTCTCCACCAGAAAAGTGCTCACATGCCACTTTGCCAAAGATAAGTCAACTGTCTGAGAACATCCCATGCATTACCTCAGTGTAATAGGGCAGACAAAAAGAAGGGGAAGAAAAGTTGTGATTCCAAGACTGGAACAGACAAATGCTCCCAGACACAACAGGACCAGAGTGGTCTGATCATGCCTAGCTGTGTAACACAGCTGTACTCTCAGCTTCTCAAGTCTTGTCTGAAAGCTAACTTCTTCATCAATATTCCCTTTCATTTGAGCTCAAGTACAGAGACAGAGTAAAACTATTTATATATCCCAAAGGAGTTTGATTCTAAACAAAGGAAACATTTTCACATCTTTCAAAGCACCATAAAGCTGAAAAGCTTTGGAAAACATTTTCTGGTATTTTGGTGTGTTGGTAGGAGCTTTTAGACAGCACGTAAGATTTGCAGGATTAAATGAAATAATGCATGTAAAGTCCTTACTCTAGTGCCTGGCACAGAGAAAGGACTCCATAAACATTAGCTTTTACTATTGTCATTGTTATTATTCCTCACTCCAAACCTACTTAGAAAAGAGACAATGCCATCGCCCATCTAGGGATGATGCTACAGGACCAAGCAATTGGCTTACACAGTGGAGTGATACAGCCAGCCTGTGAACGCTAGATTTTAGGATAGGCACAATACAACTAAATCTTATCCTAACACAACTTTCATGTCCAGCAAATTGAGTTCCCTGTCAATTCTGTGAGGGGGGAGGCAAGGAGGAAGAATCTGTAGGACAAAAAAGCAGAGAAACATAAAAATCTCAGTTCTTTGTTCTCGATGTGCTGAATCACAATGACTTCCAAATGGCAATCTCCACCAGCTGGATAGTAAGTGGAAGGCATTATTTGCCACTTTAAAGAAAACTTTGATGGGGGCCAGCCTGGTGGCATAGTGGTTAAGTTCGTGTGCTCCGCTCTGGCGGCCCAGGGTTCGCAGGTTCGGATCCCGGGCATGGACTTACGCACCACTTATCAAGCCATGCTGTGGTGGTGTCCTACATATAAAGTAGAGGAAGATGGGCACAGATGTTAGCCCAGGGCCAATCTTCCTCAGCAAAAAGAAGAGGATTGGCAATGGATGTTAGCTCAGGGCTAATCTTCCCCACCAAAACAAACAAAAAAAACCCAACTCTATAGAAAAGTTTGAGATGAATGGAGAAAGCTTTGGTCTCCTCGTGTGATTTATGAAGCATAATTTTATTAAAGGGCCCAGTAAACAACTCTCATGAAAAGAAGTTACTGTCAGGACCCTGCTAACATTCTGGCATCTTACAAATTACATTCTTCAGAAACAAAGTTAATTTCAGTATTTTTTAAATATCCAATATCTAAATAAAAATAGATATTCTAAAGCTGAATCCATACTTTTCAAATTCAATGTCCAAAGTTGGTCAAGAAAAAACTATAACCAATAATACAATCAATATCTTAAAGAAAAAGGGCTTTCTTATTTGGCTATTCCTGACTGATTTCTGTCTCCTCCAATTTTTCTCTGTGTATGTCTAGATCCTTTCATGATAGTCCGGCTATCAAGTTATTCAATTTCATAGTTACTGAGTCCTTTAGTTCATGATTAACATGTCATTCACTCAATATCAAGTAAACATCTACCGCATGCCTTGAACAGTGCTACAAAGAAAACACAGATGCCCTAAACCATTGGTTCTCAAACTATAACACTCATCAGAATCACATGGAGGGCTTATAAAAACGCAGACTGCTGAGCTCAACTCCCAGAGTTTGTAATTCAGTAGGCAAGTGGTAGGGCCTGAGAATTTCCATTTCTAACAAGTCCCCAGTGATGGTGATGCTGATGCTATGGGCCTGGGGACCACGCTTCAGCCGCAGAAGGATTTGGAGGGGACAAATGAACTGGGACTTGAAGAATAGGTATAATGCATTTCAATAGGAAATTACCGATAAGGACATGGGGATGACAAAGGAAGGTGACAGAAAAAAATCTGGTGAAGGCACAGGAAGAGCAAACGCATGGAGGAAGGAAAGCACGAGTCATGATCAGAATAGACCTAGCAGCCAGTATGAGTGAACAGAGGTGTCCTTGGAGGGTGTAGTGAAAGATCAAGTTGGAAAGGTCAGTGAAACCATGAGATAGATCTTGAATGCTGCACTCTTTGTACCTTAGTCTGCAGGCCTGTGTTTCTTCAACTGCAGCACACAGACTTCTAGAGCAGGCACTATTTGACATTTGGGGCTGGATAACTCTTGGGGCAGCAGGGTTGTTCTGGTTGTTGCAGGATATTTAACAGCATCCCTGGCCTCTACCCACTTGATGCCAGTAACATTCCCTGAGGTGTGACAATCAAAAATGTCTCCAGACATTGTCAAATGTCCCCAGGGGAGTAAAATCACCCCCCTTGCCCACTGAAAACCTCTGCTCTAGAGGCACATGGCAGGGGCCAGAGATATTTATAAGCCATAAGATTAACTTGGTGGGTCCTTCTTTAGCAGTTTCAATCAAAGGTAAGTCATTTAAAATATTGTTTGTATCATAAAATAAGAACATAATATTAATAAATAGAGAAGAACACAAAATGTAATTAATATGAAAGAATTGCACTGGAGTGCTGCAGGTTCAAGCCCAGATCTTACGGGACCTCTGAAATGTTCTAAGCACTGCCCTCTGCACCTTTGTAAACTCAGCTTCTCAGAAAGTATAGCTCAATGAATAGAGAAAAAGGCCAGGGGCCAGGAGCAGGAGACTGTGTGTGTCCAGTCCCCAGCAATGTGATCTTGAGCGCATCACTTAACTTTTCTGAGCCTCAGTTTCCCAATCTGTATAATGAGGTTTCACTTGAGACTGAAATGGTATAATACATGCGAAAAAGCACGCTGTACACTATATAGCGCTATACAAGTGGTAATTCATCGTTATATAATCATACAAGATTATTTGGAAAAAGGGATCCTTAGAAACAGTTCTGTTACTATTTTAAAATTTTAATACACTGATTACACCCAGAAATATAACTCTTTGTATTCATTTCAAGGGATTTCTATAAGAATCCTTTCAAATGAGCAAAAACAATGGGCTGATCTTCCAGGTAATTGCCAAATTTGGGGAGTTGAGGAAACCACCAGTTTCTATTCTGGGTTCTCTAGCTCAAAGTATTTCCTCTCTAATTTCACAGCTCTAAAGTCAAAAGCGTCATAAAACCCAAAGAGGACTTTGATGAAAGTAGCTGAATATTATTAAACTGCTTTGCAGCTTGGTTTCCCAAAAGCAATGAATTCTTGTTTTACAAAGTAGTTTAAGAGTATACGTGGTATTTCAGAAGTTGAAATATAAATCTGGTGGCTTCATTAGGATTGAGCTACTTTTAAGCTCAATGGAATCAGAAATGCCTACTGTCCAACAATGTTATTGAAAAGAGTAACAACTTTTCCAAGGAATGTGAGTTTTATGAACTCAAGCCTGAAATGTGGAAAATGGAGTTATTCATTTTGCAAATAACTCACTAACATCATCAATTAATTAAACCAAGCAGCAAATATTTTCACAGATCAATGAGCTATTGCTAAAGGGTACAGTACAATTAAATTACAGCCTTGGTTAAATGTCATTGCTTTACCACAGTGGGCCTTACAGAGTTGAGTTGAGTCGTGTTAACTAATTCAACTATTCAAACAGAAGCTGTTTTACTTCCCAAAATGCCAAGTATCAAACATCATTTCTACTTGGCAGCTGGCCTTTATATTCAGCTAATATTGCTTCTCTTCTGAGATCTACACATACTATTTCTGAACATGAAGTAAGAATAATATTTTTGCGGGGGTGGAGTGAATAGGAGTAAAAGAAGGGTAAGGAAAATCACGCTAGAACATAAAAATTAGCTTCTTATAGGCAGTCTCATTCTAAGGATAATCTTCAGCCCCAACATGGTGGCAGTGTTGATTCAAGCATGGGCAGTGACAAAGACCTGTTTTTCCTCCTTAGGCTGCTACTACATGTGACTCTATGTCCCAAATAAAAGGCTAATAATAAAGGACAAAGCTTCTGGGTGTGGGAACAAAGGAGAGGAGAAGGCTAGAGTTCCCAATTCAAAGAAACTCTGCATTTATTACTTACATTACTGGGTTGTACTTAGTGGCAGAGCACATCCTTAAGCACCCTTGAACTTTTGAAGGATGCTCTCCCATTCCAATGAGGACTAAAAAAATCTCAGTGCACCAGATCTTTTCTTTTTATGGATCCACTCCCACCCTTCTCATCCTGAGAAGGCAGACCTATTTCAACCTGGGATTAGCCAAGGGGAGGCAAAAGCAGGAGGCCCAACAGAGGAGATCACCACCCTTACCCTCACCCAGGTTTCTGCAAGATAGCTATGTTCCAAAGGCCACAGTTCCTGTTAGGTGGCCCTCTCCCACAGCCGCCCCTTAAGGCCTAGGGCTGATAATAACTCCCTGTGGTCCTTCACCATCCTTTCCTGGTTTCCCTCAATCCTGTCCACACCCTTGTAAACTGTCCCTTCCTGTAATTCTCCTCATTACTCCATTTGAGAGGGCTCTCTATGTATGGCCTGGACACTGAGTGATTGACTCACCAAAGCTCTTGCCATTATATGCACCCCCACCTGCAATTTCTCCTTTACCTTACCCTGCCCTAAGTAAGAGGAGACCTCTAACAAGCAAGCCAGGCAAGTGGGGACTAGGAAGGATTCTCTCTCCTCCTCAGTGAAAAATACAGTGGAGCACTCTCCAAAAAAAGACAAAGAATCAACTTATTATTATTATTTGACATAGAACTAAATTAATAGCAAAGGAAAACACTGGAAAAACATGTAATAGGTGAGTTTACCTGCATTGATTAGATCTGCGTCAATTTCATTTTGTAATGGATATGGACCCTGTCAAACAAAGCATGTGTTCAATTAGTAAAAGAAGTTTCTCACTGAATCACACACTGAAACTGTAATATAAATAACTTCTCTAAAAACCTTAAGAAATAATCATCAAAAGACTTGAGGTGAACCTTTTAAAAATAACCCTGATGTTTTCATGGCTCTGTTTCTCATACTGATTAGTCTTTTCTACACTAACAACTATGATTGGGTAAATGAAAAATATTTTCTAACAATTACCAAAGTTTGAAAGAAACGTTAAGCTATTAGAAATAGAGGTCAGTAAAACAGAAAGTCATAATTTAGTACCTACTATGTGGCCAATGTTATACATAAACCTTCCTGGTAGAATCAGTGAATACAAACCAAGTGGCTGCATTATTTGGCTAGAAGGATCTGAAGACACAAAGTTCTAGCTTTTTCGCATGCAGCCCCTAACGACTCCAGCCTGGAGCTCTAACATTCCCTCTCACCACTTCTAAGTTCTGATGCCCTTATTCCCCTTTGCCTGGTTATTCTCACTAAGGATTTGTCTTTCAATCTTGTATGTATTTTTATAAGGCATCTCTAATTACTTGAATGGAGTGAGTAGTTTCATAACATATATTAAACAAAAAGGGATGAAATGGAAAAAGGAAAAGAAAAAAACACAAGATGGAGCCAAGAACAAGGAAATATTGGCTGTAAAATGTTAACATACTTTCTAAAGAGGGACCAAAAATTTATCCTTTAAATAAATTGAAGTGGCAACCAATGTTTTAGACCTATGTAAACTTTCCTTTAAACACTGACCATGGGTGATTCACATCCACTTACTTCCCTTGTCTTCAATATGAGGGAATTGGTCACTCTAGATAAGCTCTAAGATACCTTAAAAGTATGAGGCTTTGACTTCAATATGAAACCGCTTTTATCCAGACACATGCCATTTTCGTGTTTTTGAAAATGGTCATGATTATTGCCTCAGTCAATCAGTATTGAATATATACACAGGATGATTATTTATATTTTAAATACTGGATATACATTTCCCACATTTAGAATTCTTATTGCATTAACAGTTAAGATCTATTGAGAAACAATAAAAGATTAGAGATGTTTTAAATTGGCAAACTATAAATAATCTCTGCCATAGTTAACAATTAAATAAAAAATGTCATCTAGGAAGCAAAAGCATTCCTGAATTTTATCATAATACTGAATAAAAAGTATGGCCAAATTCTATGAAAATATTGAACTCATTCGAAAGGTTAATCTTGAAGAAGAGAAAATTCTACCCTTTTGAACAACACGGCCTCAAAACGAGAATTAAACGAGAACATCAACTGTCAAAAAATGTCCCTGCCCTAAAATAGAAACTTTATGCTTCAGTTTCTCATTCAGAGCCTTACTGATTTTTGTTTAATATGGAATTGTTGACGACCTTCGTTATCTTGTCCAACCACACAAGAGTTAAAAACAGTTCACCAAAGAGGAAATGGGGAGGTCTCTCGGGGCAGGCATAACAGGGGGAGATGGAAGTTGCCCAACTGACAAAGGAGGAGGAAGCAGTCACAGTCACATAGCCAGGAAACTACCTTCTACCACATAAAATGCAACACTATACGCTCACAATTATCACTGTTTTATGGGAAAAGTTAAATATTTTAATCTGATGATAAACAGAGAAAAATAAGGTTGGGACTTTTAAGCTAACAACTTTCAGTTATAAGAATATTTCACAGTATGGAATATCTCATTCTGCAACAAGACTGCATAGATAAAATTTTAATTTCTATCTTACCAAACCCAAGACTCCATTTTCACTTTGCAGATGAACAGTCATATCTGGGCTGATAAAGTTACTCGCCAGAAGAGGGATTCCTATGCCCAAATTAGCTAGAAAAAAAGATGTTAAGGTCCAGCATATAAAAGGTAGAGAGATTATGCCATAAATCTTCTGTGTATATAATCTGAATAAAATTCTTCTTTGAAGGCACTTGCTCTGAATGTAATCACTGAATACATTCTCCAAACACCTGCTAGGCACTATTTTGTAATATTTTTTAAAAGAAAATCTCTAATTAATCACAGCTTTTTCAATAACATTAATATGCTTTTCCACAAAGATATCAAAGTGGTGGCTTCAGAAGACTAGCCAAGAGGTCATTTTTGTTGTAAGACATTTTATTTTCATTAATGTGCTCAGCAAATTTGGACTGATATATTATGACTTATTGTGACTGATGTTTTATTAGACATGGCTTGACATTTGTTTAGAAGCAACTGTCACTATTCAAAACTCCAACTAAAAATAAAGATGATGTCATATTCTAAAAAAGGGCTACTATTTTTAAATTTTAAAAAGTTTTCTGAAAATACCAAAATGTCTGCCTAAAAGTGTATAGATTCCTTTGGGTTACTGTGATAACATTCATTGGTAACAGAATCTTCTCTAAGTTATAAAGAGGAAGGGCATTGGGGATGGGGTGGTTAAGTTTCAGCAAATACAATTGAGATTATACAAAAAGTAGCCATGTTAAGGCATCAAAGAGCTAACTGAGGGTGTTGAATCTTCTAAGATGATGCAAATAGGGTCAACCCTGATTCGTAAGCAATGGTATGGGTGCCATCTTGCCTCTCAACACAAGCAGGCTCACCAGATCAGAGATGTTCACACTGCCTGGAACTTCTGTCCATGCTGCCCACTACCATCGCACACTGCAGACCTCACCAGAATTAGTGCAAAGAATGATGGCACTCTGATGAGATTCTAATAACAGTGAGATCTTTATGAATCAAGGCTGGAAAAAAATAAAGTTTGTATGTGCTGCCACACTGTAGATTACAAAGGCTGGCAATCGACTCAATGAACCAGGTCACTTCTTGTGGATACGGTGTACCTATGAAGCTATGACGATAGCTACCTGGTTCACCACTTAGCAAAGCACAATCTAGTATAGTGTTATTTGCACTTCATTTCTCACAGTGATGTACAGAACACAGTGAGATATTAATTCCATTATGAGCAAGTATTTTCAGGTAAGGGCAACCCAAGGTAAGTTTATACTTCAACTCTTTCATCATACTGTATAATTTTCTTGGTTCTTTAATACTTTTTAGTGAATCAAATACCAAGGAGAAAAAAGTCTATGTACTCTGGGTTGAAAAAGAGTAGGTGATATGGAAAGATCATTTATATGAACTGATTTGCAAATATTTTTCATAGGCAATATAATAATAGTGAATAAAGAACACCTAGAAGCCATTATTATCTAAAATTAGCATTATCATATAGTCAGTGTTTAAATATCAATGGTCAACCAACTGACTGGAGTTGAGAAGATAACCCAGTGCCTAGCTTTCACCTGATAAGTCAACTTGGTTGACTCTATGTCTTGCTGATGCAGGAGCTAGAAGAGGAGGCACTATTATATTCTTTTTCCTTATATGAATTCCCAGCATAACACAAAGAATAAATTGGAAAATAAAGAAAAATGAGGTGGTGGAGGTAAAAAAAAAAAAAAAAAAAGGTAGAAAAAGAGACTTCTCCTAGTCAATATCAGTCTGAAAGATAATATTCATGGACTAGGGGAAGCTCACACCATGGAGGCACTTGTCATGTTTCCAGTTCCACCTGGCCTAGGTCTTTAAATATAGCTTTACTGTAGTCACCATTCAACAAATACTTATTTTATCATATACCATTTGTATTTATAGACATTATTTGTATTATATAGTTCAATCTTTGACGTATTAAAAATTAGCAAAATGGCGAACAGACTCACAGGTTCATTGAATCATTACTGAATACCCTTACAAAAAATCAGACATAAAAGAATACACTCATGAGATCTTTGTCAAGGGCAACAAGGGGTTATTAAGAAGTTGGATCTTATGCTTCAATGAGTATGCAAATGTCAGAATACAGAGAAAGTAAATAGCACTGGTTATAACTAGTACCTCTGAGATTTGAAACCCTCATCTTGGTTAATCTCCTTTCCCAACAATCTTTAGCCAAATGCCACAGTGTACTGAAATCCATTGTATATTAGAAAATAGCTAAGCAAATATCTGGTCGCCATTTTGTTTCAAGAAAGTAAACAGATTATAATTCCAATTTCATATATCTTGACATCTTTAGGTTATATGCCTTATTTTGTAAAAATTGCTCAACTGCTTTAAGTTAGCCTGATGACTATGGAAAAAGTGAGAGCTATGTCTTTGTCCGGTCCCAGAAGGACAAAGGATACCATACATGCCGTCCTCAAATTCAAGAGCTGCCCGCTTGATGATACGTTCCCTTACGTTATCTCCAGGTTTACCAGATTTGGTTTTTACATCTCCCTCTTTCCGGAGTGATAAACGCTTTAAAGTAAACAGAAATAAATTATTCATGGTTGAGGTATACCTTGTTTATCACTGCTGAAATATAAAATTTTACTGAAAAAAAATCTAACTGTCTCCCATTACTACTATGAGGCAAATCTGCAATATAACAGAGAGTTTAAAAAAGGAATAACATCAGTGACATTTGATGACAGAAATAATTCCTTAGAAAGTAAGTGAAAGAGGTCAGATTTGTTTGAAGAGAAAGATATACTTGTTCTGTCTCTTTGAAGCAAATAATCCCTCTATTATTGTCACACTGACTGCTACTACTGTTATTCTTAAGACTCTTGCAACCGAATTCTCCTCTGGTGCTCAGGGATTCAGCCAGAACAAAGAAGAAGGAATAGATTTGGGACTCTGTTTTCGCAGGGCTATCAGAATGTGTTTACCAGGTGTTGCTGCTGCCAATTGCCTATTTCCAGCTGCAGAGTCTAGACTGGTTTTGCTACAAGTGCATCACAGGAATCACAGAAGTATCCAGAAACCAGCCAGGAAACTATTTCTATTATTAAATCTCCTTGATACAGACTCTGGTTCCTGTTTGCAAATGTCCCCTCCTTTCTCCCTAGCCCCCTGACACTAGTTTTGGATTGCAGAATGTCTTTCTGTTTAATGTCCACAGGGTAGAGGGCATCTCTGATTCCCTGATATTCCTGCTGCATGTCTATTCTGTTGCTGATCCCTAGACACTTCTGAGTCTGATATCAATTCTGGCCCAGCTGGTCATTCTTAATGCTCTCAGTAGCCTTGGAATACCTCCAACGCTCCTGGTACCCACTCCTTGCCACGATCTCATACCCACTAGCTGCCCAGAGCCTAATGCTAATGGGAAACGATGTTCTTTCTGGACTCTATAAAGTGCAAAGCAACTTTGAGATAGACAGACATTTCTGAACAATCAAACACTAAGAGTTTAGCGGGGGTTAAGTCACCAAAGACTCAATTATCCATCTCCATCCTGCAGGACAGCCAAAACCAAGTGTCATAAATTAGGACAGCTACAGAAGCCTGGAAAACATGGTCTAGGGAATCACATACCTAGGTAATATACACTTTGTGAACACAAGGCACTGTTGGGCTGGACAGTAACACAGATGATCATGTCCCCTCATGTTGGACACATGAGAAGCTCCTGCTAAGACTGAAAACAAGACTTCCTGCTCAGCACCGATTCCCTATCATCTGGAACGGCCCCAGGGACACCTATCTCTGATAATCAGATCTGTAAATACTGACAAAGAAGCTAAGTCAATTACCTCAATTCTTTTCTCATATTTTTCTCCCTTTAAAAGGCGATGTACATAAATCTTTGGAATATGAATGTCTTCTGGGGCAAATGATCCAATATCCACAATTTCTTCAACCTAGGCAAAGAGAAAATTTTTTAAAAATTAAATAATGAAAGCTTAAACAACAGTTTTATTTTTAAAAAAGTGAAATATACGCTTTACCTCCAACGTAAGTTGGATACATAATGTAAAAAAAACTATATATATATACACACACACATAAATATAAAAGAGAGAAAATATGTATACATATATATGTATGTATGTATATACATGTGTATGTGTAATGTGTATCACACCTTCCAGACACACAAAAGAGAAGAAATTAAAATACATGTGTCTGAGGGTATAATGCAAAGTGAAATAAGTCAGAGGGAGAAGGTCAAATACCGTATGATTTCCTTCATTAAGTAGTAGATAATAACAACAATAAACAAACACATAGGGACAGAGATTGGATTGGTGGTTACCAGAGGGGAAGGGGGGAGGGAGGAGGGTGAAAGGGATAATTCGGTACATGTGTGTGGTGATGGGTTGTAATTAGTATTTTGGTGGTGAACATGATGTAATCTATGCAGAAATAGAAGTACAATGATGTACACCCGAAATTTTTACAATGTTATAAACCAATGTTACTGCAATAAACAAAAAATTAAAAAAAAAAATACAAGTGTCTGAACATAAAATATAGAACATAAAGCTCCAGAACTTAGTCTTTGACTAAAAAAGCCTCAGTAACAAATTTGTCAAATGGTTTATCAGTACAGCTGCTTGAACTTTCACAAATTGTAGCTCAACTCTGCAAAACTTGAAAGCACATCTCTTAAACCCAGATTTTCAAAATTAATGGGAAATTTATCATATCAAAGACAAAAATCTGTAACAACATCTGCTTGGTCAATTGAAGAGCTTTTTAAATATAGATACAAATGCTATTTGTAACAGTTTTTAATTATTCCTATTATTAGCTTCCTAGGATCATGACAGAAATCTGCAGTCACTGAAATAATTTTAAAGACAGATCATTAATTTCAACATGGAAATTTCAAAAAAGAATTTTAACAATAACTAGAAATACTTGATGTAATTAGAATTAAACTCACTCACAAAGCAAAAGGGCATTTTATAGCAATACAAAAATGCCCCCAAGTTAGTCTGCTATTTTAGAATTCACAAAGAAAAGGACAAAAGAAATACTTTTTTTTACATCAACATAAAAAACAAAACTCAGAATAACAAAGATCAAGAAAAACTAAGGTAGGGCCGGCCCCGTGGCTTAGCGGTTGGGTGTGCACGCTCCGCTGCTGGTGGCCTGGGTTCGGGTCCTGGGCGCGCACCGATGCACCGCATCTCCGGCCATGCTGAGGCCAAGTCCCACATGCAGCAACTAGAAGGATGTGCAACTATGACATACAACTATCTACTGGGGCTTTGGGGGGAAAAATAAATAAATAAAGTTTAAAAAAAAAAAGAAAAACTAAGGTCAACATTGTTCTGCTCAAAGAATTATCTTTCTGGTGCCAAGAAAAAATATTATCTTCAAGATTGTGAGTACTCAGCTCAATAGATGCCATACCCAAAGCAAATAACTATTTCCTTAAATGCACTGCCATGCACAAGGAGAGCTGTATTAAACTTTTCCCCTAAACTAATAACTGAACTTTCCAGAAGTTTTGAGGTTAAGTAGTCCTCCTTATGCTATTCTACCATGTATGCCCACACCACACTCCTTCTACAATAAAAAAATACCAGGGATTACAAGAGTCCTTTTAGTTATTGTGCTGGACTCCCAAATAGCTGAAAAAGAATAGATCATAATAGATAAAAGTTATCTTCTTTGATAAACAGAAGGACCTTGACCAAAATCAAACAAAAACTCCAAGAACAAGTCGGTAGACACGTGGGCATCCGAGCTGAAACGGAGGGTAGAGATGCATACCTACATTCATCCGAGAATGAGCTGGGGGAGACAAGGGGACTCCCCATCACTGTACTCTGTATCTTCCCTCCAAACCTCTCTATGCTCTGGTATTTCCTACCCAAGGTGGTGACCAGGTAAAGAGGAGGTGGACGTACAGAGTACAGAGCAGCTAAGCACTAATGCTACCTCTTCAGCTGGTTGGAGCTTTCAGCCAGTAGGGCTCATTCACATCTTTATACTCATTCAATTCAAGCCTTCAAATTAGTTCTTGACTTTAAAATTTGTTTACATATGAATCCATTAACCTGAGGATATATATGAAGACACTATTCATAAAAAAAATGACCATAGTATTTGTTAAAACAAGGAGATGGAATCAACCTAAATGGTCAACAATAGGATAATGGTAAAATATATACGGTGCATCCACATGATGAATCATTATTATGCTCTCATAATATTTAATAATATCTCATAATTTAATGTTTCATAAAATGCAAGATTTTGCATAAATAAATAAATATTTACAGATACGCTCTTTGGCTCAAACTATTATTTCTATACCTACCAAAACTCAAAGGAAATACGCTGAAATGCTAATAATTATTACCTCTAGGTGATAGTACAAGCTATTTTTGTTTCTCTTTTACTTTTATAATCAAGGGGTGAAAAATCTACAAATCTATTTTTTTAAAGATGCAACAGACACCAAGTAAGTAGTTTCCAAAACTAGGAAATACATACGCAGGGGACATGATAAATTCCTTAATTAGTTACATACGTACCAAAGAGGACATGTTAAAAAGAAAATGGAGACTCTAAGAAAAATTGCGGTTTCTAAACTCTAAAAGCACTCACAACATTATGAAATAAATTAAGGAAACCCTTTTTGCCTACATTTTTGAAAATAATGCAAATTATTCTCCATGCCTAATGCTGTTCCAAAAGTTCAGGCCCTCATATCTCCTGCTTGAATTATTACAGCAGCTTCCTAATTGGTCTCCCTGCCTTTACCCTTCAACAGGGGCAAGAAATTTAATGGAAAGGCAAAAAAAAGTTACACTTCTCAAGTAATCCAGAAATGTTGATGGCAACCAACCACTATTTTCTTCTGGTTCCATCAAAGTTCCAAGAAAAAACACCAAATTAAGACAAAGTTTCTTTACCAAGGGCAATTACATCATGATTTTCACAATAAATAGAGTGAAAGAACACGTCCTGGTAAAACAACCCTGATGAAATGCAAGAATCTGGTTAAATGTAATCAGTTCCACGCTTTATCATCCTAATATGAATGATTTTCATATTGTAGAAAATGCATGTGCAGCATTTTTCAAACAATATCAACACTCAACGGTATTGAGAATTTCTATACAAAAAGCAAAGCTTTCTCAGAGTTAGTTAGCAGAGTTAATAGCAAAGGAAGAAAATATTTGAAGTAAAAACCAAAAGAAGGAAACATATGTTTTCAGACAATCTGTGAAGAGTTTAAAAAAAACTGAAGAGGCAGAACTATCTTAATGCTAGCTATTGAAGGCTTCTGTGCTGGTTTTGTGTGATCTTGAGAAAGAATGGTAAGAAAGAACCAATGTGGGGGGAACAGTCTAGCGAGATCAGGTGATCACATAAGAGTCAAAGGAAATCTGAAAAGAAAAAGATGAATAAAATGAGCTAGTTAAGGAAAAAGTAAAAATAAAAGCTCACAAGAGCACTCACTAACGATGGCAGAAATGCACCTCCTGGAATCAGAAGTGGGTAAGATAGAGAATAAAGAACAAAGAAAAAGCCTCAGTGCGAAGCAACGGGCAAGTTTAAGTGTCCTCAGACAAGATCAAGATGGAGAAAAAGTAGCTAAGAACAAGCCAGACTTCTCCCTGGCACTCTGCACAGTTCTTATGCAGCACCATCTGGTACATCTAAAAATCCAGACACTTGAGGCTTCTCTAATTAGTACTTGTCTTCAATCATTAGCAGGAAAATAGAGGTTAGGAAATGTTAATTATTATTGATTTGAACCTTGTTTTAAAAGGTTGCTTTCTCTGCCTTGCACCCTTCCAATTTTATAATTCTAAAAAGTTTTATTTTCAAGCTCGGAGAAGGATACGAATTGATCCTTGGGTGAAGATGTTTTTGTTTTTAATTGGCAAGCAATTATTTATACCTCAGGTAAGGGAAAAGAGGAGCTATAAGGCAATAACTTTCTTATTTTTATTTTATTTTAGTGACAATCTCAATCCATTAGAGCTATAAAAATGGCAGCGACCCTGAAGGCGGTTGGTGAAACAGCTGCGCACCTGCAGCCCTCGCTGTGGAGGACAAAGGGAGGGCTGCCGAGGGAGGTAGGGGGGAATCACAGCGCAGACTTTTTTCCTGAGTCATTTTAACTTTCAAAAAGGTTTAGGATGAACCTTCTTCTTTCCCCAGGAAATAAAAAAGCAGACAACAACAAGAAATAATGTCTAGAATCATAAAAAAAATCAGCAAAGAGCCTTGGAAGACTAGAAAAATGGAAGAGGGAGGCAATGAGCAACAGAAAAAGTTACAAGTTAGACTCAGAGTGCTCTGGATATTAATTTAACCCAGAGAATGGGTAAGATAACAAGGAAGTGTGAAAAGGGAGGTCAGCATGCAGGGCGTCTTCCCCAAAATCCAAAAGATCAAGAAGGTGCCTGTCTTCTTAAGCTTCATGCTAAGGGATGCTATGACTGATACAAATATATAGGAGGAAAATGGCATGAAAGCTAAAAAGGTCTGGAACAAATGCATATGATCTTAGATGTCTGTATAGAAATGCACAAAGACTGAAAAAATGAGTGGCTATTAATGAATTTGCAACCTCAAAATGCTTGTAAATATGATTACATAGTCATTATTGAAACCTGGTAGATTGGATCTCATGCCATCGGACATTCTACAATGTCCAGTGAAAATAAGCTGACAAAAGAAGCTATGGCAAGAAAATATGCACATGCCTAGAAAGCCGCCAACCTAGCGATGAAATGTGGTAAAATATATTTAAAGTGAGTTTAAAAGGAGAAGGAATATCACAGTAATGGCCATATAATCAGAATGTTCACCAAACTAAAGATGTAGATGACATATTTTTAATAGAAATGACAAAACTGGCTCAGAAATAAGATAGCAATATCATGAG